AAAACATATCGTTTTATATTGCTCTGGGATACTGGGATGACATAAATCGGGTTTGTGGGAAAGTCTACTACTAATGCAGCTGTTTCAAGTGAATGTGGTTGTTATGTTATTTGTTGTGAATCGTTTACAAGATGTGAACACTATATGTGAACTTGTATGTGTATGAAGGATATTAGATATACAAAATAATGCTAGTATGTTAAAGAGATGGGACGAACATTCAATACAAATGTAAAGATATTACCTAATACATATGATAATTATGTGTGGGATGATCAAGATGTCGTATAGTTTATTTGTTACTTCCAGAATTCTTCACAGAGTGTTGCAAACTGTTACATTCATTCATTCTTTATAAGTTACATGACTATTTTAATATTGTTTCTTATTTGCTTCATATACACTAAAAGCATCAAAGAAGATATATACATGACCAAATCATGAAAAATATTGGAGGGAGGGTATTGCTAAAAAATTAAACTTTTATACAGCTATTGTAGAAGTTGAGATCAAGTTTATGTTAGCATTGCCAACTTGTGATATTGTTCAAAGCGGCGTAAAATCAAACTCACTCACTACGATTATCATTAATATTATTGACGTGTATCATAATCCACTGCTTACCTATCATGTTTGTACCACCATGCTATATCGTCTATGCTTACGAGCAGACAGGCTCAAATGTTAAACTGGTAACCTAACTCTGGGTTAAAACCAGTATGTTTATCCTCATGGCATGCCATGATAAAACCTGAACTCTTTGGTGTCAGTCAATATATTGGAAGAGTCCAGTGTTGTGAGTGGGTGTCTGGATTAAGGAAACATCAATTATAGCCATAACAAAAGTGTGACGCTGTATGTATATGCTTAAACATCGATGTTTTTAAAACATGACTACAGTTCATCGCACTGAGTGTGCATTGAGGGTGTGTAGCATTAACTACGTGAGCCAACTTGCAGTGGGTAAATTTCGTGATATCATTCCCATGTTGCCACACATTTTGGACACCTCGCTAACTTACTGTTGTATTAACTATGATTCTGATTCACTGATAGACAGTTGTATTTAACCTTTTACCGAACAAATAAGCTCAAATAGACGTTTCTCTGACGCCTGGATGATGTCTTTCATACTAGTATTTTGCTCAATCTTTGGGATGTTGCCGTGTTTCTTGTTGAAGGCACAAACGTTCATGAAGGTTTATAAGTACTGAAGAAAGGTCCCCGTCTGTATATGCCACTACACTTGTCTCCAGCTGCAATTAGGATTATGCTTACGCGCGTTGTGTGGATTTAACCGTGTCAGTGCACCAAACAGTCAGCAGATATACATATACGGACATGTTTTGTCAGTTTTGATTTGTAGTTCTTTGGTATGTGATTAGGGTAAAATAAAAAAACCACTGTAATACTGATTGGGACAATGTTTACCAAGGTCTGGGCCAGGTCTGCTTGAACTAGACCCGCACGCAGACTACTACATCCGACGATTATCTGTTACTTCCGGTTTCAAGGTTAATTATTGTCGTGTAATCCCCCCACCCCAACCCCACTCTTGTTGACATTATTCACGAATTATCACTTTGCAATATAAAGTTGCCCGTGGGGCATAGTTCTTGTAAATGGACCAAACCGCTTGTGACGTCAAGATTTTCACTTCCCTCAAGCAATGTTTCCTGCCAGTGTCACATATTGTTTACCTGCTGATAAATAATTAGAAGTGACAGCCTTGTGTCTGGGGCGATATACTGCTTCTGTCTATCTCTCACGCTGTACACCTCGTACCTCACTTAATAGAAATCCTATTTTAGGATGAAGCTTGAAATTATATTCATTGAGTAAATGGAATGTCTGTGTGTGTCCATTCAGGGCTAAATATTGAAATGTGGCTGTCCCGACACGCGATGATGGACTCAAATATTGGCATATTGGAAATGTCAACTAAACGCATTTTGACAATTCTTGCCATTAGGGAATACCAAAGCCTTAGTTATTATTTGTGTTATTGTTGTTTTGTTCGAGGTGTCTGTGTGATGGGATGAGGAGGGGGGCGTGTGAATATATATAGTTTATGAATCTGAAATATCGAATGTCCATATTTATACGTATAATATGTCCATGAGTACGTAATAAAAAGATAAATAGCAAGTGTTATGTGAAACAGCTCTTCTTTATATGTGAAGTACGTTTTCTCCTCTCAGGAGTTCCTCAGCGCGTGGCTGTTACAACATGATGTCATTATACTAATATCTGTAGAGATGTACAATGACCTCTCATCGATGAAGCAAGGTAGTGTACATAGATGTACATTGACCTGACCTTAGTCACTCACTCACTCACTCACTCACTCTTCACACTGCGAGAATCAACGTAGCAAATACATCTAGAAATGTCAGGGAAACGTTTTGTATCTTCTGGAAGTCTTATTCTAAGTTGCTGTTGCAAACCATCTCTGTGTGAAAAACTCATTCCAGTCATCGATGTCGGAATTGAATGAACTTTGGTATAGTTAGCCAGAGAGGAAGGGCCATCAAACGTCAGTGCAGATAAGTTAGTTGCACAATTATTCTGGTTAATATCTTACATGTGATGAAACAATCACTTCAACCTCATCCAAAGGCAATATCCTGTGGATATATCGCTTGTAGGTAAATCGGAATAAGTGCTCATTCAATCAAACAAATAAGCTCTCAGTTCATTGCTGGAAGAATCATTGCAGATATTTTCATAATATACTGAGTCAAATTAAAAACTTCACATTTTTAAAAGTAATCCCAAACGGGCAAATGTATCAGAGAAGGTAATTTTTAATCATTAATGTCCAAAGAAGGATTTTAATTAACGGTGGTAACCATAATTTGTTCCAAGCACCTACGGTATTCGGTAATAACATCAACAGTTTAAATCATAAGGCCAAGCACGAGAATCTGATGGCACACAAGTTCAGTAGCGTGTATGGCCACCATGTGCGTTGAGAACTGCCACACAACGCCTCCGCGTTGTGAACACAAGATTGGGAAGACGACGCCATTGTTGCTGCAAAATGGTGCCAAGATCTTGCAAATTCTGTGGTTGGTTCTGGAGAGTGCGCAGACTTCTGCCAAGAGCATCCCAGACGTGTTCGATGGGATTGAGGTCGGGAGACCTTGACGGCCAGTCCATGACGTTGACTCCCGCATTCTGAAGGAAATTCCTTGTCAAAGTTGTTGTGTGGGGTCTGGCATTGTCGTGTTGGAAGAGTCAACCGGGTCCATGTGCTGCCATAAAAGGCAGAAGTTATGGTGCCAGTACCTGGTCGCGGTAGGCAGCTACGTTGAGGGAACTGGACACATATGGGGTCAAATGCTAAGTGTCTTGGCAGATGTATATAGCATTGAGAGATGATATAAGTGTTGTGACCTTGTAGCAGAGATGAGGTATATATAGTGTGCTGGCAGATGTATATAACATAGATATGAGGTATATATAGTCTCCTAGCAGATGTATATAACATAGAGATGAGGGAAATATATAGTCTACTGGCAGATGTATATAACACATAAATGAGATATATATATATATATATATATATATATATATATATATATATATATATATATATATATAGTGTGTGCTGGCAGATGTATATTACACATAAATGAGATAGATATATATATATATATATATATATAGTGTGCTGGCAGATGTATGTAACACATAAATGAGGTAAAGTGTGCTGGCAGATGTATATAACATAGAGATGAGGTACATATAGTGTACTCGCAGATGTATATTACACATAAATGAGAGATATATATATATATATAGTGTGCTGGCAGATGTATATAACACATAAATGAGGTATAGTGTGCTGGCAGATGTATATAACATAGAGATGGGGTATATATAGTGTGCTGGCTGATATGCATAACACATAAATGAGGTATATATGGTGTGCTGGCTGATGTGCATAACACATAAATGAGGTATATATAGTGTACTGGCAGATGTGCATAACACATAAATGAGGTATATATAGTGTACTGGCAGATGTATATAACACATAAATGAGGTATATATAGTGTACTGGCAGATGTGTATAATACATAAATAAGGTACATATAGTGTACTAGCAGATGTATATAACATAGAGATGAGGTATATATAGTGTACTGGCAGATGTATATAACACATAAATGAGGTATATATAGTGTGCTGGCAGATGTATATAACATAGAGATGAGGTACATATAGTGTACTAGCAGATGTATATAACATAGAGATGAGGTATATATAGTGTACTGGCAGATGTATATAACACATAAATGAGGTTTATATAGTGTGCTGGCAGATGTATATAACACATAAATGAGGTAAATGTAATGTACTAGCAGATGTATATAACACAGAGATGAGGTATTTTTAGTGTGCTGGCAGATGTATATAACACATAAATGAGATTTATATAGTGTGCTGTCAGATGTTTATAACACATACATGAGGTATATATAGTGTGCTGACATATGTATATAACACATAAATGAGGTATATATAGTGTGCTGTCAGATGTATATAACATAGAGATGGGGTATATATAGTGTGCTGTCAGATGTATATAACACATAAATGTGGTATATATAGTGTGCTGTCAGATGTATATAACACATAAATGAGGTATATATATAGTGTGCTGTCAGATGTATATAACATAGAGATAAGGTATATATAGTGTGCTGACAGATGTATATAACACATAAATAAGGTATATATAGTGTGCTGTCAGATGTATATAACATAGAGATGGGGTATATATAGTGTGCTGTCAGATGTATATAACACATAAATGAGGTATAGATAGTGTACTGGCAGATGTATTTTAACACAGAGATGAGGTAAATATAAGGTATGTATATATATATATATATATATAGTAAGGGTTGCGTAGACAGCAACTGAAACTGTTGAACATTTATATAACTGAATTTGACACCGAACAGGAAAAGCTCTCATAATACTACATTATGTCCAGGTACGCAACACATACGTCTGGGTACAAGAATCACTTCACTAGTTTTGGTCATGTTGCTATCATCTCTTTGTACAGGTGTGAACTATGCAAATCAAATGTGCAAAATGCAACAGAGAAAAAAAATGAAAAAGAACAATGGATATCGATAGCCCTTTAGTAGATCCCGCGAAGATCAACTGGTGGACAAAAGAAGTATACACTTGAACACTTGAAAAAAAAGGATTTGACGAAAAACTTATACACGTTTTCAAAACTTCCATTGTGTGTTGTGAAAGCGTGCAGAACGGAGAGTCCCCCGCGAAACCAACGAGGAGCAGGTCAACAGCCAGGCATTCACGGGAGAAACCTCCAGGGACAGTTTAAATATAGCTCGTTTCTGAAGACGTTTTCAGTGAAGCCGTGACATTCGGCCAGATAAAATAATTAAAAGTGTTACAAGACAAACACTTCAATGAGTGCAGTTATTTAGTAGGTCTTCGATTCTCACATCCATTACTCCATCCATACACCCACTCCTCAATCCATACACCAACTTCTCCATTCATACACCTACTCCAGACCCCTCACACCCACTACTCCATCCATACACCAACTCCTTCATCCTTACAGCCACTCCTTCATCCATACACCCACTCCTTCATCCATACACCCACCCCTTCATCCATACACCCACTCCTTCATCCATACAGCCACTCCTTCATCCATACAGCCACTCCTTCATCCATACACCCACTCCTTCATCCATACAGCCACTCCTTCATCCATACAGCCACTCCTTCATCCATACAGCCACTCCTTCATCCATACAGCCGCTCCTTCATCAATACAGCCACTCCTTCATCAATACAGCCACTCCTTCATCCATACACCCACTCCTTCATCCATACAGCCACTCCTTCATCCATACACCCACTCCTTCATCCATACACCCACTCCTTCATCCATACACCCACTCCTTCATCCATACACCCACTCCTTCATCCATACACCCACTCCTTCATCCATACACCCACTCCTTCATCCATACACCCACTCCTTCATCCATACACCCACTCCTTCATCCATACACCCAATCCTTCATCATTCAGCCGCTCCTTCATCCATACAGCCACTCCTTCATCAATACAGCCACTCCTTCATCCATACACCCACTCCTACATCCATACAGCCACTCCTTCATCCATACACCCACTCCTTCATCCATACACCCACTCCTTCATCCATACACCCACTCCTTCATCCATACACCCACTCCTTCATCCATACACCCACTCCTTCATCCATACAGCCACTCCTTCATCCATACACCCACTCCTTCATCCATACACCCACTCCTTCATCCATACAGCCACTCCTTCATCCATACAGCCACTCCTTCATCAATGCACCCACTCCTTCAACCATACAGCCACTCCTTCATCCATACAGCCACTCCTTCATCCATACAGCCACTCCTTCATCCTTACACCCACTCCTTCATCCATACAGCCACTCCTTCATCCATACACCCACTCCTTCATCCATACAGCCACTCCTTCATCCATACACCCACTCCTCCCCTCTCACGACCACAACTCCACCCATACACCCACTCCTCTATCCCTACACCCACTCCTCCATCCATACGCCCACTCCACCCTTCTCACGCTCACTTCCCCCGTCTCACACCTACTCCACCCCTCTCACACCCACTCCTCCATTCCTTCACCTAGTACTCCATCCTCACACCCACTGCTCCTTTCTTACACCCACTCCTCCATCCTTACACCCACTCCCCTAAACATACACCCATTCCTCAATCCCTACACTCACTCCACCCCTCTCACATCCACTCCTCCACCCATACACCAACTACTCCATCCATCCACCCACTCCTCCCCTCTCACACCCACTACTCCATCCATCCACCCACTCCTCCCCTCTAACACCCACTACTCCATCCATACACCCACTCCTCCCCTCTCACACCCACTACTCCATCCATACACCCACTCCTCCCCTCTCACACTCACTCCTCCATCCATACACCCACTCCTCCCCTCTCACACCCACTACTCCATCCATACACCCACTCCTCCCCTCTCACACTCACTCCTCCATCCATACACCCACTCCTCCCCTCTCACACTCACTCCTCCATCCATACACCCACTCCTCCCCTCTCACACCCACTACTCCATCCATACACCCACTCCTCCCCTCTCACACCCACTACTCCATCCATACACCCACTCCTCCCCTCTCACACTCACTCCTCCATCCATACACCCACTCCTCCCCTCTCACACCCACTACTCCATCCATACACCCACTCCTCCCCTCTCACACTCACTCCTCCATCCATACACCCACTCCTCCCCTCTCACACCCACTACTCCATCCATACACCCACTCCTCCCCTCTCACACTCACTCCTCCATCCATACACCCACTCCTCCCCTCTAACACCCACTACTCCATCCATACACCCACTCCTCCCCTCTCACACTCACTCCTCCATCCATACACCCACTCCTCCCCTCTCACACCCACTACTCCATCCATACACCCACTCCTTCATCCATACACTCACTCCTCCCCTCTCACACCCACTACTCCATCCATACACCCACTCCTTCATCCATACACTCACTCCTCCCCTCTCACACCCACTACTCCATCCATACACCCACTCCTCCCCTCTCACACCCACTCCTTCATCCATACACTCACTCCTCCCCTCTCACACCCACTACTCCATCCATACACCCACTCCTCCCCTCTCACACCCACTACTCCATCCATACACCCACTCCTCCCCTCTCACACCCACTCCTTCATCCATACACTCACTCCTCCCCTCTCACACCCACTACTCCATCCATACACCCACTCCTCCTCTCTCACACTCACTACTCCATCCATACACCAATCCTCAATCCATACGCCCGCTCCACCCCTCTCACGCTCACTCCTCCCGTCTCACACCTCCTCCACCCCTCTCACACCCACTCCTCCCGTCTCACACCTCCTCCACCCCTCTCACACCCACTCCTCCATTACTTCACCTAGTACTCCATCCTCACACCCACTCCTCCTTTCTCACACCCACTCCTCCATCCTTACACCCACTCCTCTACCCATACGCCCACTACTCAATCTATACACCCACTCCTCCCCTCTCACACCCACTACTCCATCCATACACCCACTCATTCCCTCGCACACCAACTCCTTCATCCGTACACCAACTCCTCCACCCATACACCCACTACTCCATCCATACACCCACTCCTCCCCTCTCACACCCACTACTCCATCCATAAACCCACTCCTCAATCCATACACCCACTCCTCCCTCCTTACTCCCACTGTTCCCTCTTTATATCCACTCCTACTTCTCACTCCCTGTCCTTCCTCCGTACACCCACTCCTCCCTCCACTGTTCCCTTTTTATATCCACTCCTACTTCTCACTCCCTGTCCTTCCTCCGTACACTCACTCCTCCCTCCACTGTTCCCTCTTTATATCCACTCCTACTTCTCACTCTCTGTCCTTCCTCCTTACACCCACTCCTCGCGCCCTACACTCACTCCTCCCTCCTTACTCCCACTGTTCCCTCTTTATATCCACTCCTACTTCTCACTCTCTGTCCTTCCTCCTTACACCCACTCCTCGCGCCCTACACTCACTCCTCCCTCCTTACTCCCACTGTTCCCTTTTTATATCCACTCCTACTTCTCACTCTCTGTCCTTCCTCCTTACACCCACTCCTCGCGCCCTACACTCACTCCTCCCTCCTTACTCCCACTGTTCCCTCTTTATATCCACTCCTACTTCTCACTCTCTGTCCTTCCTCTTTACACCCACTCCTCGCGCCCTACACTCACTCCTCCCTCCTTACTCCCACTGTTCCCTCTTTATATCCACTCCTTCTTCTCACTCTCTGTCCTTCCTCCTTACACCCACTCCTCGCGCCCTACACTCAATCCTCCCTCCTTACTCCCACTGTTCCCTCTTTATATCCACTCCTACTTCTCACTCTCTGTCCTTCCTCCTTACACCCACTCCTCGCGCCCTACACTCACTCCTCCCTCCTTACTCCCACTGTTCCCTCTTTATATCCACTCCTTCTTCTCTCTCCCTGTCCTTCCTCCTTACACTCACTCCTCGCGCCCTACACTCACTCCTCCCTCCTTACTCCCACTGTTCCCTCTTTATATCCACTCCTACTTCTCTCTCCCTGTCCTTCCTCCTTACACTCACTCCTCGCGCCCTACACTCACTCCTCCCTCCTTACTCCCACTGTTCCCTCTTTATATCCACTCCTACTTCTCTCTCCCTGTCCTTCCTCCTTACACTCACTCCTCGCGCCCTACACTCACTCCTCCCTCCTTACTCCCACTGTTCCCTCTTTATATCCGCTCATACTTCTCTCTCCCTGTCCTTCCTCCGTACACCCACTCCTCCCTCCACTGTTCCCTTTTTTCCGCTCATACTTCTCTCTCCCTGTCCATTACTCCAACTGTTCCCTCTTTATATCCGCTCATACTTCTCTCTCCCTGTCCTTCCTTCGTACACCCACTCCTCCCTCCACTGTTCCCTCTTTATATCCACTCAAACTTCTCTCTCCCTGTCCATTACTCCAACTGTTCCCTCTTTATATCCGCTCATACTTCTCTCTCCCTGTCCTTCCTCCGTACACCCACTCCTCCCTCCACTGTTCCCTCTTTATATCCACTCCTACTTCTCACTCCCTGTCCATTACTCCCACTGTTCCCTCTTTATATCCACTCCTACTTCTCACTCCCTGTCCTTCCTCCGTACACCCACTCCTCCCTCCACTGTTCCCACTTTGTATCCACTCCAACTTCACTCTCCCTATCCATTACTCCCACTGTTCCCTTTTTTTCCACTTCTACTTCTCTCTCCCTGTCCTTCCTCCGTACACTCACTCCTCCCTCCACTGTTCCCACTTTATATCCACTCCAACTTCTCTCTCCCTGTCCATTACTCCCACTGTTCCCTCTTTCTATCCGCTCATACTTCTCTCTCCCTGTCCTTCCTCCGTACACCCACTCCTCCCTCCACTGTTCCCTTTTTTTCCACTTCTACTTCTCTCTCCCTGTCCTTCCTCCGTACACTCACTCCTCTCTCCACTGTTCCCACTTTATATCCACTCCAACTTCTCTCTCCCTGTCCATTACTCCCACTGTTCCCTCTTTATATCCGCTCATACTTCTCTCTCCCTGTCCTTCCTTCGTACACCCACTCCTCCCTCCACTGTTCCCTCTTTATATCCACTCCAACTTCTCTCTCCCTGTCCATTACTCCCACTGTTCCCTCTTTATATCCACTCCTACTTCTCACTCCCTGTCCTTCCTCCGTACACCCACTCCTCCCTCCACTGTTCCCACTTTGTATCCACTCCAACTTCACTCTCCCTATCCATTACTCCCACTGTTCCCTCTTTATATCCGCTCATACTTCTCTCTCCCTGTCCTTCCTTCGTACACTCACTCCTCCCTCCACTGTTCCCTCTTTATATCCACTCCTACTTCTCTCTCCCTGTCCTTCCTCCTTCCACCCACACCTCTCCAGTCACACCCTTACGTCCACACCGCTGTCTCTACTTCATGTGCTAAATGTCTGAGCACACTGGTCACTCCACACGAGTATAGATTAGAGACATTGTCGGAGATTTAATACAAACTGAGTGTTTTCACTTTTACAGGGAGGCACTTACGACAGTGATGAATACAATGATTAACACAGTGTATGATCGCTTTACTGGCAATTAATTTTTTTGTAAAGAAGAAAGGTTTTATAACGCCAAAGTAGTTACACCTGGTAAGAGTAAGTGTTCAGCTTCGTGTGTGGGAGTGTGATATATAATTATATCGTGTTAATAAAATATAGTTTCTTTAAATCGTTTCACGCTACACCCTCGCATTATTTCGTAACAGTTGCCTCAGCGGCATAAACAGTCCATACAATGAAAGCGTGGTTGTCATCGTGTGATGTTGCTTGGCTCTGTTGCGCTGATGCTTGCGTGGGAGTACAGCGGAGTAGATCCTTTGGGAAACCTAGGTCGGTGCTGCTGACGGACAACGTCGAGTAACCAGATGTAATGATTTCTTCCCAAACACTTCCATTTTCTACCTGAATCGATGTCGGATCATAAATACAATTTCCTTTCCTGACGGTCGACTTAATACATGATCCTTCTTACGCTCTTTTACTGTGAACATTTGATAGCATTTACATATACCATATATGGTATTTCAGGTGCAATCGTTATTACATACTATCGAACACTATATGAGTTTCCCTGGTAGAGAATCCGGTTGTAACGATTCGTATCTACCGGAGGGTACACGAATGGAGTCAGGAGTGTGAAATCTGTTTTGATGTGTTATTCACTTTCAACACAGGAAGCCAAATATCTAAAGAGGGTTTTCTCTTATTTCTGCCTGGCTACATATTTAACATGATAAAGTTTCGGTGGGGGCTGTAACAAGATCCTGACATTCCTGGGTTAATGTCATATCTTGGACCATCCTGTCAGATTCCTGCCAGAGAGCCAGTGAGGACATCTTGGGATAAGGACTTCTCAGTGCTAACGGTGTTCCTTCAAAGCTCTAATCGCGTCCGAGGAGCGGACAGAGAGGAGTGAAATCAATAGCCGTCGATCGCCTTACTTTAACTATCACAAAGACGGTTCACATGCATACTACCTCTAATATCACTCCCACTTGTAACTGGTACGCCAGTGTAGAATTCCAGTATTCTCCTGTTAGA